TAAAGTCTAGAAATGGACTCTCTAGGTTGTGTCGTAAATTTATGTGTGGTAGCTTTCTAAGACACTGCCCGCCTTACTCTAGAGTGGTTGTACCTTCATACACACCATCTAGTAATGTATGGGAATTCAATTTTCCATTTGCTCCACAGCCTTACCAACACCTGATGTCAGCCTTTTTTAAATTTGTGTGTGTGTGTGTGTGTGTGTGTGTGTGTGTGTGTGTGTGTGTGTACACATACATGTTCTGTGTATATGCAAGTATCCATAGAGGCCAGAAGAGGGCATCAGATCCCCTGGCACTGGAGTTACGGGCTGTTGTGGCTGCCCCGTATGAGTCCTGGCAACCAAACTCTCACCTCCTGGAAGAACAGCAAGTGCTCCTAACTGTCGATCCGTCTCCCCAGCCCCTTGTCAGTCTTATGTAAGTTTAGCTGTTCTGATCAGTGTGTAGGGGCATCTTGTTGCAGTCTTAATCATTATCACCAGTACTATTCATCACCTTGTAGTGTGCTGTTCACCAGCCAACTGTTTGTGTGTATCATTGGGCTGAGTTAGAAAAATCCTTTCTATATTCCGAATACAAGTGTTTGCTTTAATCATGAAGGACTCTGAAGATTGTTGTGTATGGTCTAAATCAGTGGTTCTCAACCTTCCTAATGCTGCGACCCTTTAATACAGTTCCTTGTGTTGTGGTGACCCCAGTTATAAAATTATTTCATTGCTACTTCGTAACTGATTTTGCTGCTGTTGTGAATCATAATGTAAATAGTTTTGAAGATAGAGGTTTATCAGATGGGTCACAACCCACAGGTTGAGAATTTCTGGTCTAGAGAACAATCTGCACTAGCCACATTTTTTTTTTTTGAATGTGTGAATTCATCGAGTATGTAAAAAAGCAGAGTTAAAGACTATTATATAGCAAGTGATAGATAGAGCTAATGTGCATGAGGTCAGAAGACAACTTGGCAAAAGTTGGTTCTCTCTGCCACGTGGGTCTCGGGGATCGAACTCACACATCATCAGTCTTGCCCCCCCATCTCTGAGCCATCTCACCAGCCCAAATTATGAAGATCTTACCAAAGCATTAGAACACCACTGTTTGAAAATTAATTAGAAATCAAGTAACGCGGCCAATTGGGGACGCACGTGACAACTATGCGGAAAATACAAGACTCGCTGTGGGGCGTTGGAAAATCACCGCCAGCCTCTTCCCAGGAAGCCTGAGTAAATAAAATCACCCCTGAGGCACACAGTGTTTTTGGTCACTGTCTTAGTTTGTTTTGGGTGGTGTTGGGAATTGAGTCCAGGACCGTGAACGTGGTAAGCATGTGCTTTCCCAGTCTACCTCCCAGCTGGGCCCCCACCTCCCAGTGTTTGTAAATAAAATGTGAAGCTAATGAATAGAAATTAGTAAGGCATTTTTGACACATTTGTTCTCAACCTCCTCTTCAGAATGAGGGATCGTGATGAAAGTTCAGAAAAGAGGAAAAGCCTGGCCCAGAAGCCACACTTGACAAGGCCAGAAAAGGACAAATTGTCCTGTTGCTAGTCGCCTGTGAAATTCGGTCGCTCAGATTCCTGGTCCTGTTACCTTTGGCATCCGTTCTCACCAAGAATGACAGTGCTTGGCTTTTAGTGACGGAGCTCTAGGCTGAATGTGGAAACCTAAGTATAATGGACCCCTTGTTGGGGACAGGGGTGAATGAGGTAAAAGAATTTCTCCCCAGCCTCTGCTGCCAGAACTCTTTATCTAGAGCTCATGCCAAGTGCAGCCGTTGAAGAGGCAAGGGCAGACTGCTTAGAGGTTTGTTTTATTTACTTCTTTTTTTAGCTGGCTGGTCTCCCAAATCTGACTTTTGGACATCTGCTTGGTGCTGGCATTCCATGCCGCTGCTGTGTGGTATGGCCCTGGATAGGAACGCAGCCAGCTGTTACCAACCTGTCCACTAGCCTGTGGGAGGGGGTGCCAACCAGAAGGTGTGAAGGAAAGTGGGTCAAATAGACAGGGTCGATCAGATTAGGACCCCTGTTTCCCTGGAGAGGAGAGCGGGCCATGCTTTGCCTTTCTTCTGTTACATGCAGATGTGGGGGGGGGGGGTTGCATTCACCAGCTCAACAACCATAGATTAAAAAGATTGCATCTGCACTGACTTCAGATGTTTTTGTCATTGTTCTCAAAATAATAGTTTGAGAATAATACCATTTGCATTGTATTACCTTTACATAATGTAGAGACGAACTGGAACGTACAAGAAGATGGGGGTGAGTGGGGTATGTGCAAATGCTACTGCATACGCAGTTTATGTGAGAAATGAGCATCTTTAGATATGGGTAAGTCTGGGACCTGGTCTTCTCAGACACCAAGAGACAACTGTCAATCAATTTGGGAAGCGCCTTACCTTTTTAATTACCCATCAAAGAGTAAGGATCTCACTGCAGGCGGCCATGGTGCACACCTATCTTTAATCCCAGCACTCGGGAGGCAGAGCCTGGTGGATCTCTGAGTTCAAGGCCAGCCTGGTCTACAGAGTGAGATCCAGAACAGGAACCAAAACTACATGGAGAAACCCTGTCTC